GAGCCAAAACGTGGGGAAAACAACCCCAAACAAAAAAAAAAAAAAAAAAAAAAAAAAAAAAAAAAAAAAAAAAAAAAAAAAGGGAAGCCAGGATCAGAAGTGCACACAGAAGAGGCTTTTCTGGCTAAATGTAACACATTGGTAGTACAGGCTCTATAGAAAACAAGGACTAATGGATGTCTATGTATTCTGCCTACACTGGAAAAAGGAACAAAATGTATGACAACACAGCTCGCAGAAGGGAGCCCATAGACTACGGAAAGAGGCCTGGTATCTGTGAAAGTAATAAATGCTGCAGAAAAAGTCTACAAAAAGGTTTCACCTATAAAAGTTCAAGTTGTACTTCATATAAAAGAAGCACTTTAGACATTAAAAACATACCTGTACCATAAAGTGGGTTGTTGGGGCAATATCATAAGCTAGAGAAATTTTTAAAAGGAAACCTATCAGAAATAGGGGGGCTGTTATTGAAAACATCCCTCTGAAAATGGTCGTTACCAATCTGTCAAGCTCATCCTCCAGACTAACACCTCAATCCGAACAAGTGTGCAACAAGTGGAATCGGTGTCAGGTCAGGACTTCCTGTCTACATACTTCTGAATCAGTAACTCAGAAAACAAGTATGCAGCCTTTATATCAGCATGACAGCCAAGGTACTAGTGTTGTCAGAAGGAAGAGTCCGCATAGCCTCACCATTTATCTAAAAATAGGTTTTCTTTACAATGGCAACAAAACACAGACTAGCGGTTTAAAGATGAACTCCAGAGAGGTTTATAAAAACACTTGTGTTCAGTAAAATATAATTAAATTGCTTTTCATGCAACTGGTTTAAAGTACCGGAGTTTGACTATCAGCCTGTTGTAACCCCCGGTACAGTAGAATGCAGACTGGGAGGGGAGAAGGGCGGTACAAAGAGATAAATAGGTAAGTTGCATACAACTATGCTCACTAGAATTATGCTGACTGGAAGCGTGAGCACAGTGAGCAGAGGGGTATGTTGCCAAGTCTCCTGCTGCTTGTTCATTGTCCAATCACAAACTGGGACAAGCATTGACAAAGCTAAATTGCTTAACTGCAATACTAACAGGCCAGGTCACCTGCCTGGCTGTGCAGCACAGCTGTGTACATCTCAGAATTAGATAGGCATATGAATAAATCCTTTGGCAGGTAAAACGATTCCCATTAAAGTATTTCAAATGTGTATTTGAAATACTTGGGAGTTCAGCTTTAAACTTTAGTGAGCAGTACCATGTGGTGCTACATTAAATTGTAGATGTCAGGTGAATACATTCATTGAACCTGCAGTAAGACTATTCACATTCATGTTTTAATTGTATGCTTTTCAAACAATGCTTTTCAGCATGCAAGGTGATAGAAAATTGTGCCCAATTTACAGCAGAGCTAAAATGCTCTGCACTTTTCAAAAACTGATCAGGAACATTTTTGACAATTCATCTGGTGCAAAAGGGTGCTCTTAGGCGAGGTTCATTTAGGACAACTAATGCAAAATCAAAAAGAAAAAAAAGGAAATCTGAATTCTGCTTATATCAACAGTACAGGTTAGGAAGTGTAATAAACTGACTAGTTGCTGCGGCTGTCAAAGCTCGTGTACTCCACAACTGACAAGCCCACTGAAAATCTTGTGTATTACCTTGTGTATCATTATAGGCACAGCTTCCAAGCTTCGTCTTTATTCATACATTTTTGCAGGGCTACCAAATCTATTTAAAGATCCTTCAAGCCAAGCTACAGAATAAAGGCAGAACAATTTAAAGCATGGTTGTACCCTTGGAGTAAAGTAAGAAAGCTTACACTAAACAGTTCCAAAACAAGTTTGTCACTTTACGTCCTTTCAATTGAGAACAATATTGCTTTCGTAACTTTACAAAGGGGATTTGTAGGTTTTGGTCAAGAATAACAGAAAAGAAGTACCTCTATTAAAATCTGCTGTAAAAACAGAGCAAATACAGCATAAAAAATATGGCATTTAAACCTTGCACAGCATTCCTAATATAACAAACTAAACAAAAATGTGTCATTTATAATATCCTCAATATTATTCAGCAATTTATTCTACTGATGTTATCTAGAGTTTAGTGCACAGGGCAACTCTACTAGTAACAACGTGAACAAAAAGTTTGATGCAATTGTAGTTTAAAAATAAAATTAAAAATCTAATATGGCTAAATAGTAGATCCCCCTAACTCGATAAACTAAAATTATCAAGAGCTATGGCAAAAGCATGCTAGGTAACCTTAGGCTACCCACTCAATATTATAATTTAAAAAAAACAAAAATATTTAAGCATGATTTAATAGTTAGCCCACATTTTATTTGCATATGCCTATTTAAAGTCTACAACGGACGCAGACTAAATCAGAGCGCATAGCTTTGTTTTTGACAAATCATTCCACTGCACTGAATGCAAAGGAAATCATTTCTGGCAAAATCTAAACAGAAATCTCAACTTAAAATATGACATTTCTAAGAATCAATTAACAAATTATTTTACAAAGTTGTAACTATTAAGAGTTAAAATAAAGCAATTTTCGATGCATCACCAACTGTCTAATTAATAAAGGATTTTGCATTTTATGGTCAAGGTAACAATCTGGACTTGCTGAAAAACAAAAAATTCAATCCGATGATTTAACATCATGTGAAAGTAGAAAAGCCTAATAATCTCAACCCTTCATCTTGTTCAACAATGTAGGCTTATTAGGTGCAAATAAATGTTGGAGATGTCCAATGAACCATATAAATGGCAATACTACCTATGCCGGCACAGGCTTGGAGGAGACGGCATTAAAAAAAAAAAAAATTGTCAAATGTATTTGCTCTTCTTAATTCTATCCGAAAAGAAAATAGACCTTCTATGTTATTATAAGAAGCATTTCCATCCCAGCTGAAATTCTCCATGTGATCTTTCACTGGCAGGACTGTGCCAACATGAGTAGTTTTTCATATGGCTAAGGGGTACTTCTGTCCATTTTTTTTTTTTAACCCATGCCTCACTTAGATCATCATTGGTTTCCAGTGATCCGTTTAGTTAATTATTACTTCTACTCAAAGAACAGCTGCCTCTACTATAAGTAGTTCACAGTTACACCATGGCCACCCATAGACTATAGAGGTCAGTTCAACGTAGAAGCATGATCCGACAAACCCTTAGGGTAAGCCCACTGGGAAGTTCTCAATATACCTGCAAGCGTGCTTGAGCTTCCAAATACTATCAATGGAGAGGTTGGAGTGGGGATCAAAAAGTGGTACCAGCTTGTCAGTGGGAAGTGACTGGCAAATGCTGATTGGCCAGACCAGGGGACAGTTGCTTCTCGTCTATGGGTAGTTTAAAATCCAACTCAAGTGGTTATGGCTTACATAGCACATCTTAAAACCTACACTGCTACATAATTAATAAAAATGCATAAGCCTATACATAAGAAGATATCCATCAAGTTTGTACATATTAGAATCATCCATTGGCGCAGTTATCACTGGAACATCCACAGAAGAAGGACTCCAGTGTAACAAAATCTGGATAGTTTTAATACAATTATCTGTTGAGTTGACACTTTTGTCTATATTGCAATGGGTGAGAAAATAATATGCAGTTCAGGATCTAATACTGTAAAACATAACCCCTCCATGACAGAACCCACAAATTAAATCCCTGCATCTGTGCTAATTTACAGGCAGTAGAACACCATAAAAGCAAGTAAGTTTTTACAGAAAGGATTGTAGCTTTCCTTTAAAAAAGGATGGGGTTAGGTAATGTTGCCGTATTTCATTCGCATAGTGCTTTGCAGTGTTCTCCTTTAAACAGGCGACACCGAGTACTATGATTAGCTGATTTATCAATTCGAAGTATGGAGTTCATGGAAATACAACTGTGAGCTTGATTAAATTCCTTATTACTGTGGGCTGATATTTATGGAATCTACAAGCACCAGTCATCTGAAGAGCATAAAGGCAATATGGTAAAAAAAAAAAAAAAGCAGCAATGACTGGAAAGAGTCAGCATTCTATGAGTACGGTAAGTTAGTCTCAGGAATTTGTCCTTGTGTTTAGGTGTGTTTTGCCATATCTGGCCCACATTCCACTAATTTATGATCTATAAATTGGTGAAGCCAGTCTCGTTGAAGGTCCTGTATTTGGTGGACGTGGCTTGAAAATCTATTGCAGGCACCTTTTGCCAAAACACACCTAATGAGAAAAAGAACACAATGAAGCACCTGTAGAAGAATGTAACTGAAAGAAAAAAAAAAGAAGTGCAATATTCACAATGTGGGGCCCAGAGCAGAGGGCAGAAACTAGGCCTCGCAGTAATAATGAACTTTCTGGCTGAAGGTAGGCTGTGACTGTAAAAGGCACTTTAAGGAAATGCTTAACTAAGGTCCTGCTATAGTAAAGGTGCACAACTTGAGCCTTTTAAGCAGGAGCCCTTCCCGCTGAGAACACTGCATTTACGCACTGTTAAAAGGGGACTGCGTTTTGCAGAGTTAAGCAATGGGTGACGTAAGGCCTTACTCAGCAAGGGTCAGTTCGAGCCAAGATAAAATGGATGCGACAGCCTTGCCATTCCCAAGAAGCAGAACAAGTTAAACATTTAACCATTTGTAAAGTGCATCTCTAAATTTTCATTGTGTATCATTGCATTTCCGTGACTTGTACAACATTCTGCGATCAATAGATAACCCCTAAATCGACATCTATCACATCTTAATGACTCGTTACAATTGGCACTAGGCAATAAACTTTTTGTCCAAACAATACTCATTTCTGGCTTTGCGCTCTCTAAAGAAAGTCTCTTATGACAGGAAAGAAAAAGAAAGCACCATTATATGAGAAAGCCAGGGGTGCAGATATTCACATTTTAAACATCTCCACATTAGCATGAAAAAAGTTAAAATGAATACAGAGGTTTTTATTATGGTCTACAAACTGTTTTCATGGTCACAGTCTGCACTGTGACGAGAGGAATTGTTCCCGTTGTAATGTAAGCAATCACCTTATTACTTTGTGTTGCCAGTGAATTAAGGTGCACTAAGTGAACTCACAATACCTTAATAACAGGGGGCGCTATAAAGAGAAAAGAATAGGCCAGCTTATTTGTAGTCTGGGTTGTGGACTCTACACAGTCAAACTGTAGAGATAAAGATGCTTCATTGTGAAGAATGCGCTGATCCAACATTTCGGAGATTCAGAGAGGACATGAGGGGTTTCCAAAAAGCTCATGATGTGTAATCTTTGAAAAGTCTATGGATTTCAGACCAATTGTTTAAATGGACACAGCCTTTAAAAGCCAGGTCTTGTACGTCCCATCTCGTCCTCGCATTTCTTTTGCCTTTTCCCAGTCGTAGATTCTACAGGAAACAGAAAAAGTTAATAGGAAAACTTTGGTAAGCACATAGAAATAAATGAAATGTGATGCATCAGCACCCTACAAAGCTTAGGTTGTTTGTGATCATGGAACATTGGGAATTTCTCAAAGAGTTAAGGCAGCAGGCTGTTTTTTTAAATATTTTTAACTTCACTCATGGTGATAAGGTTTTTGCCTCTCTCCTCAATCCCAGTTGCCAACTGACTACAGTGCGGCGCTATGATCTTGTGTGGTCGCATATTACGCTCATCTAGTGACACGAACATCAATCTTCTTTTTTTCATTACTTCTAAGTTTCTTTTAACACTGTCCAGTATGTTGACCCGGCCATCCACAGCTAATCCCACCCAGTATTGGGCGCTTTCATTACAGGGCAGCAAGCCACTCCCACATAAATGCCCAAATTCAGGAATTACTAAGAATCCTGGGAGATGTAGTTTTCTTTGTACCCTCCTGGGCTTTCTGATAGTAAGCAGACGCGCAGGATAACCTCACCCTCCGAACTATTTGGACCCAGAGGGTAGCGTGGCTAATTAAATGTGTCACAATTGGGTATTGTGAAAACTATTTTGATAAGCGAATATGCAGAATAAATAATACGGAGCTGTTGCATGTATAATAAGACATGCCAACATGGAGACCATAATTGTAGGGCAGAATCTCCCACACCTAGCTTAAAGTACAAGTCAATCTAGCGCTAATGCCTTGCACAGTGTGGCTGGTCTGAAGGATTTTTGAACACTGGGGCGGCTAGAGGGGAAAAGCAGAAATATATATTTGCAAACAGATTTTATGGTCTTCCCATAAAGCCCTATAGGCACATATTCTGTTAAGTGTGGCAGATTCTGGAGTCAGTCCAGCACTACTGCATTGCCTATGCTGCCTCATGATTTAGAGCACTGGTGACTGGAGGGAAAGGCATTTTAGTTGCTTAAGGCTGGGTTCACACCTAGGCGTACCGAATATGCACATTTGCCGCGCGTTTCGTGCCGCATGTTTTTACCGCGATTCTCGGTTAAAAAAAAAAACACGCGAGAAATGCGCGTTTCCGATGGCTATACGGCTGTATCCTAATGGATACTGCATTAAATACGCCCCAAAGAAGCTCCTGTACTTCTTTGGGAGCAGGGCATTTTGCAGCGTGTTCCTACGCGCTGTAAAACGCCCAGGTGGGAACCATGCCCATAGGCAATCATTGGTTTTCACATGCTGAGCGTTTTATAGCGCGTAGGAACGCGCTGTAAAACGCCAAGGTGTGAACCAGGCCTAAAGGAAAAGGAAGGCCCAAGAAAGACATCTCCACTGTGATGATACTTTTTCATGGTTCATTGTACTGGTAGAAGACACAGTTCAATACTGACAATGTGCAAATAAAAAGTGGAGGGATAGAGGGGGGGGAGGGGAAAGAAGCCAGAAAGTCACAGAATTTTGGCAAATGACCAGACCAGATGCTTACCATAAAGAGATTATGGAAAACAGGGTTAAATTGTAATGTGCCTTTAAACCACTTAGCAGATCAGCAAACAAACAATTATACGCACAGACCAAGCCTGCTGCTGTGTCTTGAGAAAATTAAAAAAAATATTTCTGGGGAAAAATAAATCTGTACAGGTCATACAGAATACCTTTTATAGGCTTCCTTATATGCTTTTGTTTCCCATCCTTCAAAGCTAAAATCAAAGATTTTCTCTTTCTCAGAAGTTACATTAGATTTTACTATTCCACAATTACACTAAAGGATCATTTAATAAGCTTTAAGATGGTAAAACAGAAGATAAGGCAGCATTTTACTAGAACCATTTCCATACAACCCACTGATGCCATAGAGCATGGGTAACTAAACTTCGGCCCTCCAGCTGTGGTGAAACCACAAATCCCATCATGAATCTGACTCGGGAAGTCATTCCTGGAGCTGGGGCTGCCTTATGGGATTTATCGTTTCACCACGGCTGGAGGGCCAAAGTTTGGTTACCCCTGCCATAGAGGCTTAGCACCGACATAACAGATTTGCCTAAACTCTGGTTTGAACAATTATCATCAAACTGGACATCCCGTGGCTACTTATACACAGCAAAAAAAAAAATCTATGCCATCATTTTATAGAAAACAATATGAGGAAAGAGGGAAAGATAGGCATCATCCCTATTTTTCATTCGGTTATGAAATCTTTGCTGCGTGTCTAACCTGCAGACAAAAATCTAAAAAATACACAGATGAAATACATATGTTGTATGTGGGCCAGTCTAACAGCCAAAGGATTGGCAATTGTGCCCATCCAGTCTGGAGATTTGCTCAGGTTGACCACACAGCACTACCCTGTCTGATTGGACTCTGTTGCAGTACAGTAACACAGGGTTGTCCCTCCCCCAGCCTGTGACTGAACAATGAAAGGAGAAACAGCAGACTCAGAAGTTAATCTCTCTGTCACTCAGCTCTCTCCTCCTATTAGCATGCTCCTAGTTAGCACATGCACACTGCAGCACAACAGCTTGACTCCTTGTGCTGCTTCTCCAGTCTGACCTCTGCTCTACGGGGACTGCAGGAGGAGGACTACAAGCAGATTCAGGCATTTCTACTGCTTCCATAAAAAAAAAAAAAATGGATATTTTAATTAAAAAATAAAATGATATAATAATCAAATCATTGTAAACCTTCCTTTAGATTAAACCACTGTAACTGGCATGCACATAGAAAAGCAGGTACCGAGAGGAGTTACCCGTTACTGCACCCCGGGATTACCTGCTTTTGAATCTGGGCATCCCTTCAAAGAGATGATAAATCTAAAATGGCAATGAAAAAAAATTGCACATGTTTCTCTCTAGCTGCGTCTCTGCAGCATCTCTTCTTAAAATACCATTTTGCCCATCATACCCAGCCTGCCAGTGCTATCATGGTAACACGGCAAACAAAGCACATAAGACTAGAGCAGGCCTTTAAGAGGACACCTCATTAGCGGATGAACCAGATATAGCGTGTACCTCCCCACTTCTCCTTCACAGCTTTATGAAGTTTTATCCAGTAAAAACACCATATTTTTAATGATCACCTATGCAGCATCAGTTCTGCCCATTAACCCACAGTACAAAGAAAACCCTCCTCTGTACTTTGTATTGTACAACAAAAAGCTAGCTTTGCCCATTCAGGCCAGCTTCTGCCTGCAGCACAGTCCTTTCAAAGGCTGCCGCAGTAACAACTGATACAGGCAAGAGATGCTAAATGAATGCAGATGTTATAGAGAGGCTGGCCACCTTCAATGCAGCATTCTGCTGAGATTTCCACACAAAGCTAAGGGCAGAGCAAAAAGTACATTTTAAATTATATCCAAACTACATTTCTGCAGGCTCGAACAGTTCATTTTGGGGGCAGATATTTCAGTGTGCACCTAATTCAGCTTTTTAATGGCTCATGGGGGAAATCCCCAAAAGAAGAATGTATAAAGTCCAGATGCAATTTTATTAAGACTCTTATGTCAAAAGGTCACCCTTCATGGAGGGCATGGCACGTGTGTACTGGACTGATAAAATTGGGAGGGATTCGAAGGAGTAATATAATCGTTCAATATGCTGTTTAACCTTTGTTCAACAGCACCAGGCCTCGATAAAGTGGGACCCTTTGAGACCCCAAAATGTGTTGTCTTTTTGTGGATTGAAAATGCCAATGCAGTTTGGGGGTCTGAATAAAATGTCATCTGGACTTAGTTTCTGCTTTTGATGCGTTCCTCCTTGCACACCCAATCCCTACTAAAGAAAAGAGCTGACCTTCAGCTGCCCCTCCTGGAAGTGCTGGAAAATCATGACCGCTACACTGATTAAAGTACTTACTGAGAACATCTACAACTTTAAGAGATCCAGCACCCCACACCATTCATCTGCTTCTATTGGTGGATGTAAGAGGCATTCAGACTTAAATGTGCAGAAAGCTGTAAGGTCCTTTGAGTTGATTCCAGTTTTTGCATTCACATTGACTTGTATGGGGAAGAGAAGCAACTATGTCACCAACAACCATGTAAATGAGCACTAGTATTATACAGGATTTATATAGCACCAGCACTTTGCACAGCGCTTTACAATATAAGGAGGATATTACAGTTACAATACAAATCAAGACAAGATGGTAAGGAGGGCCCTGCCCGTGAGGGCTTACAATCTAAGAATGTCTTTCCCTGAGTCTTCCACAGGACATTACCAGAAGCCAATTACTGGGCATCCTCCTTTACGTCATCAATTAGACCAGCATGTACATGACTGAATACAGCAGTGTACAAATCTAGACTTCATTGTAAGCGAGGGGGGAAAAAAAACTATACTAAAACCATTATAACATTATATTTAGAAAACCTTTCTAAAGCATGCTCAAACCAAGCTTTCACCTTACAGAGCAAATGGTGATCATCCTAGGTGGTCAAGGCAAGGGTAGGTGGAAAAGGCAGAGCCTTTACTGCCTCCAACCTGGCATACATGCATTGTATTCTGGGGCTATTTTTTATTTAAGGGCCTCCCACCCCATCACAAGCCCATCTCAAAATGACTGCATTTAAGCTGTACTAAGAAAAAAATAAGTAAAAATAAAACATCTGTGAAAAAAAAGTTTCATCATACTTTCCTTACCCCAGGCTTTTGCCTGCAGCTTCTAAGTGAGTGTGATGTCATTACCCTTTCAGCAAAATCCTGAGATCGCTAAGAAACCCAAACCTTGCGAGATGATGCTCTTGTGCTATGACTTAGGAGGTGCTCATGAAAGAAGTCTTACTGGACTGAGCTATATTAGTTCTGATTCTGTATTTAAAAAGGTAAAAAGCTAAAGTGGTGTTAGCTGCCTCTATAAGCTTTTTAGGTCTAATATAAAAGCTACATTTTCACTCTTCACTAAAAGCTCTTAAATGCCTTTTACTATACATTGTTAGAAGGCTGGGCACTGGGTGCTGCATACTTTAGCTCTGCACTTCCAGGCACATCTAAATGGAAGCTGGGGATGTTATTTTACAGCTGTTAGCTTTCTCTGCCATCAACTATTTTGTTCCTGAGCTTTATGTGAGAAGATGGACCAAGGAGAGTGCGGATCAAGGGGAAAAGTGACTGATTAATGAGGGAGGTCATTCAGACAGGAAATTAAGGTATTATTATTATTATACAGGATTTATATAGCGCCAATAGTTTGCACAGCGCTTTACAATATAAGGAAGACATTACAATTCAAGACAAGATGGTAAGGAGGGCCTAGGAGAGCTGCTGCTGCTTCTATGGGTTAAAATTGTAGAGATGCAAGTTTACAGGGATTTGAGAGAGTAAATCAGATTCAACACAGGAGAGGACTCGCTACAAGTATGGGGGGAAAATGTTAGGCTGGAGTTCAGTTTTAAGTAACATTTCTATTAAAATAAGACACAAACATTCCTGGGCAACCAATTGTAAACACTATACGTTACCTGTCTATATGGTGGAGACATTATGTTTCAATTCATCTGAAGCTTTTCTGTTGCTGCATGAGGCCCACATTTTCATACACTCTTCCAGAATCGTCTCTCATTCTGTAAAACAGCAGACAGATATTCAGACACTGGAACTGCTCAGAGCTGCAATATACTTCAGGAGAACAAAACCCTGCAGCTGTTGTCACCTGATAAGTTATCTCGTTGTTTGCAGAGCACTGTATCGTCTGCAGATTCCCAGAGGTAGAATTTACCCTGAAAATATGCTGGTCGTTTTACAAATCATCTAAAATGTCACAACAGTCTGTAATACCACAATACAAAAACCTTCAATGTGCAGAGACCTGCAGCAAACAACTACATGTCATCTTTCAACAGTCTTAATATACTAAAGTGATCAACGCTGATGTGTTATCGGCTGCTGTGATTGCAGCCAATCACTCAGAAGATTAATATGTTTCAGCTGCACTTATTACGTGGGGTTTTCAACAGTCAACAAAACATTAAAAGAATTAGGTCATGAAGCCTTAGTTGAACATGGACATTCTCTAGAAGGTCGCCATAGATGACAGCATTTTAAAATAAATGACAGCTGTGCCTGTGTGTCGAATGCTGAATATAAATGCATTGATTGTTCATGCAATCGACCTTTCAATCTAATTGTTTACAGCACTGAAATGACCACTTGGTAAATGTGCCCACATTAACCTGATGACTTTCCATGTCAAAAAAGTGCTTGTAGAAAAAAAAAAAAAAATCAGCAAAATAATAAAACTGCTTCAATTCCAGCACATTTTAAAGCACAATATAATAAATACACAATTTAAACACACACATATAATTATATATATATATATAT